GATGCTGCATGATAAGTCTATTAAATTCTGTGTGGCCACTTGGGACAAAAATAATTCTGCTTCTAAACTGTTAATGCGTTGTAAATTTAAATGAGACACATGCTGCTCACACCAGAAAACTGATGTATGTGAAAGAGAAGGTTCTCTCAGTGTGGGTAAATACAGCTAYATCTGTGAACATTATTTTTCACTGAAATGATAAATTTCAGAGCATCCTAGGGAGTGGAGAAATTGATTCCATTTCATTCCATCTTTTTAACAGCAGATAGGACAGAATACAACAGCAAAAGATGATTTTGTTATCCAGTACTGGTAGGTGGAGGCAAAATTTTCCATTCAACTGTAAAACTCTGTCAGTTACCACCCAAGTGTTACAAGAAAATGTTATTGCCACACTGAATTGCTTTTGGGTGTTGTTTCTTTCTGTCGCCTCACWTGGTTCCCATCTTAGTGGGCCGTAGAAAGAAGAGGGGGGCAGTCTGGTTTCAGGTGATGACTTTACTCAATGTGATGCTTCAGCACTGCACRTCTCAGGACTTTCAGGGGAGCAGAAGTGGATAGAAACACTTGGASGTTTATTGCTCTGCCCTTTGCGCTCTAGCATCATAGCTGAAGACAAGGAAATATTGCACTCTAAGAATATAGAATATAATGTAAATAGATTGTAAATTTGTGCAAAACTGGCAAATTTTTGCATTAGATAAACATTTCCCACACTTTGGAAAGCATATTGGTGAATTTAATTTTCATCTGCTGAGTGGGAAGTGGTTCACAGGATGCATTTGCAGGACTAACAATGGAGAGGGATTTTGGCTTGCTCACTCCAGTTTTCTGCCCCTATTAGGAATCATGTCATATAATCTTTAGTTACTTAGATATATTTAGATTTAGTTATTTACCAAACTTCAGCATGAAGGTGGAAACTAGATAAGCTTATGCCTCCATTTTAATTCCCTGCCAGTAAAGAAATCTTAGATAATGGCAGTGCTGAAGTGCAGTAATATAAAATATGTTTTTCTGTGTATCCTCTTTTAATTCACTCCTCCTTCCTTTTTCACCCACAGTCTTCAATATCACAAATACCATGAAAAAAATCAGGAATATGAAAGTGTCCCATTGGCAGAAGCAGGGTGCTCTCCCCAGACTCTTTTTATGTCTCTCAGTCAACTTTCACTGAATAATATAAGACATCCACATTTGGGGAAAATATGGTTTCARGGTTTTGAGTTGAATATTGTATCCATAAATGTTACACATGTTCCAGTAAACACAAAGCGTATTCATAGGCTGCAGTGACGCTGTCTTCTCAATCATATAATGGTACATGGCAATGAGTGGTCTTCTTTTTATGTTATGTCCTTAGGATTCCACAGCTCCCAAAAATACTGAATGTCTGAAATTCGCATGAAACTCCTACTCACGATTCTTTCTCTGAAAAATGTGGAGGAACATTAGTAATGATTAACACACTGCTGGAAAACAATGTGTTTTCTRAGACAGTGATGTTACTGCAGCCACATTACTTTTTGTTCATAGCAGGTACAATCACATTGAAAGGTTTATTCTGACAGACAGCATGAGGCAGTAGGACATTTAACCTGTAGCTGGTAAACTGAAGAATTTTTCTGTCTGAATTTGAAGCAAGTCATTAAAGGCAGTAAATTCAAGATGTCGTTTGTCAGTCTTTTGTCACGTTATGAGCAGCATTTAATATTGATAGTTTGATGGTAGACAGGAGATTTTTCATCTCTGGTCAAATAAAAAAATTCCTGAGCTTTTTCTTCATGCATCCGGAGAGCTGTAAAACTAACCAAGGACAAATATGAGACTGCTGAAATATGAAACAATTAAAGGAAATCCCAGTTTAAATCTGAATCTCCAGATGGAAAGTGTAAAAAAAAGAACACCGAAAATTTTCACTGGATGCTCATTCTAGTATTTTATTTTTTTTCAGTGAACTCTGCTTTCATCTGAAATAAAAAGATTTTGTGTGTTCATGCAAGAGAATTCAACAGATATACCTGTGTTTCCTCTGTTTCCTCAGCAATTGCAGTAACTAAGCAACTGAAAAACTGAGAAGTAGTTTTCAGCAAGTTGTTTTCAAATTCTGACATAGTATTCCTTTTTTCTTCTAATGACAGTGATATGACCCTTTGGTCTGTCAGTGACTGACAACAGTTAAGATCTGAGTTCAATTTGTAGGACCTAGTGATCATACTCAAACATCACCCCTTTGAGCCCTGGCCAGCTGGAATATTTTAAACTCAATTAATCTCCATGCACTCAGTAAATTAGTCCTGTGGATGTCTCCACCATGTTAAACAGGAAAATATTTTGCCAATCAGGACTCTACAGGGATGGCAAAGAAAAATAGAAGAATCCTAGTATCTCAATGGGGAGAGCATAAATGCCTTGGAGTGAGCAGCTGCCATGCTCAGAGCAGGCTGGCAATGCTGCTAGTTCCTCCTGCCACAGCTGCACATGACCAAGGAAGCAGGTCACTGTTTCCCTGCCAGCATTGTTTTGTGTACCCACTATTTGCTTGCCCATGCTTTTTCTGATGCATGATGGTACCCATCACATTTATTTYCCCCGAAAGTTCTTCCCCTTCTTTAGGATTAAGGCGAGAGCTGCTGTAAATTCAAAGCACCTCCCCTGATTTAATCAGTGCATTCAAACCCTTTAAGGACAGAATTAAATTTGTCTTTTCAAAGACCAAAAGACTGTTCATTTCATTGGCATTGAACCCACATCAGTAATAAATTTGACAAGTCATCATCTACATTCTCCCATCCCCCATCAGTCAGAAGTGACAGTGGGTTATACTTGTCAGTATAATGAAAGATGACGAGCATTTTTACCCATGAGGGTACCTCGAGTTATGATGATTTTATTTTCAGGAAAAGATACTTCTCAATAAATAAAAATGAAAGAACTAGTAGGGTTACCAAGAAAATATATTYCTGCAATACTCAGAAATAAAATGAACAGAAATAAAATTAGTGTAACACTTAAAATAATAAATTAAGAAGAGTTTATGGTTTATCAGTCTGCTTTAGCTTTTTTGGTGAAGGTCACTCAGCGAAGCTGTGGGTGCCCTACTCCAGGAAGTGTTCCAGGCCAGACTGGACRTGGCTTTGAGCAACRTGGTCTAGCAGAAAGTTCCAACCCTGCCAAGGCAGAGGAGTTGCTGCAAGATGATCTTTAAGTTCTCTTCCATAAACCATTCTATGATTCTATCTCATTATTGGATAAGCTGCACACATTTTTGGTAAGTTCTCTTGCATRAACTCGCAGTTCTTCCTTTTTCTTGGAAGAGTAAATAGTGGAAAGACAATTTGAAACTGATCTGAGAGAGCCTTCTGCTTAGCAAGTCAGTTTAAACCCCCATCCCCTTGATTAATTTAAAACTTTATTTGCTTCAAGTTGCCGATAGGCATTATGGGTRGGTGGCACAGGTAAGGCATTAGGTTGTCCGGCTTCTCTGCTGTTGGCAATTGTCCATATCAGCTGTTTGTTTCTAAGGAAAGCAAGAACTTGGAATATTCTGTCAAGGTAGAAATTGTCCTTTTTCTCAGTGCAGTCAACTTTCTCASAAAGAATTAAAGTTCGTGTTTAACACACTTTATTATATGTAACATGCAATTATTTGTACACGTGTTCATGTTTGAACTCAGATGCTTTTCAACTAGATTAAGGTCAGTGTTCAATTCTTTTTTACAATGATCATCTCAATAGATGCGATCAGTAAACTAAAATAATTTAATATCCTCATTTTAAAGTTTACAGTAATTCAGTTTTTTTTCCATTTCCATATTCTCTTAGAGCACAAATCTAGCCCTAGCCATATAACTATTTATTTTGTATATTTTAGCATCTTCTCTGGTATCGGTGCCCCGACTGAAACCAAATAGTCCCAGCATTTCTTATGAAGTTGTATCTTGTTCACACTCATCTGAAAATCAAATATTTTTCATTTAAGTTCTTAAGTCAGGACTTGGATATGCCATTTCAAGCACCAGCTTTGAAAGCTATCAGTCTTCCRTTAACCATCAGGATGTCTTCACTCAGTATTTTTAAATATCGCTATCATGAAAAAGCAAACCAAACCAAAACAAAATAAAACAGAAAAGATTCAACCTTAAAATTATGCCACATCCAAATCTTAAGATTGGAATATTCCTAAATTTTTGGTAGTCTGGAGATTCATTATGAAAAATAAATGTAGCTAATTCTGAGTTTAGGTTTTTGTGGTGTTTTTTTATAATATAAGGGCAAGAAAACCATGCTACAACTCTTCAGAGAACAGAGGTTTCCATTCATAGCAAAATGTTTATGGACATCCATTATCTSAAATATATTTAAGAAGAAAATAGTTAAAACTACAAAATCATATACTTTATTAATGCCCATTCATTCTCTATTAAYTCTAGGTCTATGTCATTAAATAGCTCATCTATTTTCTGTTGTAGAGGTTTTGTTATTGCTATATGTTATATATAGCAGCAGTACCTGCAATTCCRTTGGGGAATTAACACTGCATTGTACTAAACGTGTCCAAGCAATTAGCTCAGAGCCTGTTTGTGTTCCAGGGAACTCATATTTCACTCTTCTAAAATGGGGTGTGGAAAGGAAAAAATTTACAGTTACACTGTCAGGCCCAGCTAGTTCCTCAAACCAGCCAAGGAACAATGATGAATACTTAACCATCCTCAGAGCCTAAATTAATATCCTAATTAACTRGCGTCCATTAAAAACCTCTCAATGCATTTCTTTCCTATTGAAAATGCCTACCAAATACAAGTGCTTTTGGATGTTTAAGAAAGGTTTTCAATATAGAAAATCCTTAGAGGAAAGAGAAAGGAATTTTCATCTCTCTATGTCTGGACTTTTGGGGTTCAAAAAGTTTCAGAGAAGGAGGTGATTTGGTATTGTTCTGAGTCAATTTGCTCTGGCTGAGGAAATGACGAGAAGGAAACTACTTCCCTGTCTCGGGAACCATGTGGCGTTCCAAGATAAGGCAAGCACTTACTAATTCGAGTTCAKGAGCAGGAAATGTGATACATCCATTTCCTTTCAGGCAAACAACACAGTTCCGTGGCAGCACAAAAGCTTTGCTTCTAGTGCAAAATCTCAAACCTTCAGATAACTATTGCTCCTCTGTGGACGTACCATTCTATATTTGYTCTTTGGATGTTATGGATAAGAACAGTACTTATCCTCCAATCACATGGCCGCCAAAGTTTTGGGGTAAGGATATCTATTTTTTTTTCTAGAATATTGCTAAAGTAGATGCAGATATTTGTTGCCGATTGCCTTAAAAATACCTCAATATGCTTTCAAGCCTCATGTTTGATGCAAGGAGTAATGAATAGGTTTTGTATTTCCTATTTTCCAAATCTTCAACAAAGTTTTATCACGTTTTGAAATTAATCAAGACAGCAGGAGCTGCCAGGGCAAAATTGATTGTTTCAAAAAGTTACAGAAATCAGTTGAAAAGGTGTCTATTGACCAGTCAATAGTCAGATCAGGTAGAGATTCTCAACTGCTTAAYGTATGCACCTACATGGCAGACATGATCTCTTTCCTCTTTTGATGAAAATGGGATAGCAAATGCTAAACGTGTTTCAACATTTGGAATATACTCTTATTCTTCCAGCATAAAAAGTTATTTGTAATCTATTGGGGTGCCTCATGGTCAGATTTTCCTTATTTTTTCCTCAATGTATGTTTTGATTATTATCTATTATGGCTGTTTTCTTTCATCCAAATCTCGGAATAGTTCATTAAGTGAAATGTACAGTGTGAGGTGGAAATATATGCTATACTGAAATTCATTGAGGGTAATTCGATTCATTGATTTAATCGTAAAGGATTCTGTGCAACTGCTGWGGAAAATCTTTCCCTCCAGAAAGCTTTATTGCTTGCTATGTTTAACATTAACATTTAKTAGCAATTACCTTACAATGAATCACATATCTGGTGTTGTCTATTAGGGTTATAATATTATGTTATTTCTATTGAGCAATGATCCCTCCAAGAATCTGAACACTATTTAAAACTAAAAAATAGTATACATTAGCAAAATAGGACTTCGGTTGCTTAGAAGTGCCCCAGGAAAAGAGTGGAAAAAAACATACAAGAGGATGGAAAGAAGTTCCTTTTTTTCTTGGCATAAGGAACAAGAATCTGCTGAATGCCATCTATGCTTCCTACAGTGACACATCTATTTTCCTATTGAGACACCGTGAGCAACTTGCTTAATTTTTGTGTCTTGGGCTAAAGAGAAGGGTAAYGATACTTGACATCTTTGATAAATATTTACAGATCGACTGAAGAAAAATTACAGTTATTCCTGTTTCAGAGCCTCTTGTCAGTGTTTGTCAGTTGGACTCTACAGAACAATAGTAATTTTTGTGGAGTTGGACTCTACAGAACAATAGTAATTTTTGTGGAGATGGATGTAGTTCTAAAATGGCTCTTTCAAAATAAAAATTTGCTGCATCTAACAACACAGAGGTGGACACACCTTAACTGTCTAATTACTGAAAGGGCCAGCACCTCCTTTCATCCTTATTGCTCACCCGGCTTCTCAGGGACTGACACTGACCCAGCCCTGATCACTTCCCATTTGCTTGGGCTCTGACAGCAGATGAGCCTCAGAGTCTGGATTTTTGTTTGGAGCTTGCATGGTCCTTGAAAGGGGAGACGCCTCTCAGATTTTTATTGTTTTTCTGACAGATTTTAGAGGAGTGAATATGATTTTCTCTTCCTTTCCTGTAGATACATAATATATGGTAGACTAGGAAGGGTCACTATATATAATYTCTGTTAGAAGAAGATGACTAACACAAACTCACTGTGTGGGAACATCAYTTAAAATGTTAGAAGTGTGTTTTCTGACATCCTGGAGATACATGACTTGAGGTAAAACAAAACTACACATCATAGTCATAAATAAATTTAATTCTTTATTAAATAAAAATGCAGTACTTGGAATTGATTTTTGAGAACACGGCTCACAGGCTGTTTTCTAAACCACCCACTGTGGTTCACAGTACTGTGAATATTACTACATTACCATGATTCATTCCTTCTCCATGCATGTGTGATTTCTCAGCATCTTCCATGGACTCAGCCAAAGTGTAAATTCAACATATGTGCAAAGGTTTGCTGAGAGGGACTAAGTTTGTGAGAAAAAAAATCAATGCTATAAAAATAGTCTAAGCAACGCTTCATAATGATATTTAATCTCTTACATTTTTATAAACCATCTATTGTCTAACAACTGGTTCCCTATGCTGGACAATATACAGGCATCCTGTTTTCTAGGGTTGTCCAGTTTCCAGTGATAACTTCACACAATAGCTTCTTAAAAAGTGACTCTTAGAAATTTAAAACAATGAACAAACTAAACTGTCCTCTGCTTATTTATGTGAGCACATATAAATCTTTTTACAGTTGCTCCAGGCCAATGGAAGTATGCATTAATCAAGCTGTGTAGAGAAAAACAATATATAAACGGCTTGATATAAGTCATTTTCTGTGAGYTGTCTAAGTAGCCTAAACCCTCTGTCTCATGCAAAGATCTTTAAACAGATAGTATTTTAAAGAAATCAGCATACTCCTTTTGCAAGCTCTGCATACAATCAGTGGCAGTCTGGAGAGTCAATAACTGTAATGTTCAACTGTAGACCTTGCAGGAATTCCTCTTTGAATTCAGATGTTATCACCATCAATCTGCAGTATTTTTGGAATGCTAAATTATGCAGCAGAGAAAAAAAGGAGGAAAAGAAAAGTTGGTTTGCTGGCCTAAAATAATTTCTGTTTGAAAAATAAAAGAGAATATTAAACTCCTCTGGTTTAAATTAATGAGTTTTATTATTGAACTCCTGGCCCTATCAGCAAATGTCCTCTGTGTAATGTATCATAAGCACAAAATTGGGATCCTGACTCTCACTTTGCTAGAGATTTTTCTTGCTACAGGTATTTTGTGAAGTCTTTGTAGGTATACATGTCTGTTTCAGGTAAGTTGTCTGAGCTAGTGCCAGGAAGCAGGAGTTCATTTCTACCAGGTGCCAGCTTCTGTGAATCTGTGTAGCTGCTGCTCACCCTCCTTTGCAGTGGGAATCCATTGTATTGTACTTTGGAAGAAATAAAAAGAGAAGCACTCAAAGCCAGCCCCTGCTGAACTTCAGCACTGCTGATATCACATTGGAACTGTAGACAGAGAGTCTGGATTATATTTTTTATTACTGGTTTCAAAAGGAGGCTTAATAATAGCTGAGTGAGAAATTCAAGGTTTGATACCCATTCATCAACTGGTAGTCTCACTTTTTACTGTTTTAATATAGTCTTTATTGAGTTCATTTTGATTTATAACAGTGGGAGCAAAGATGTTTCCACTTAAACCAGGAGTGCATTTCTTGTAATTCCTAAAAGCATTTTCAGTTACACACAAGTAAATATAATAAATGTTTTCAAGACAATCCTATTTCTTCAGCACAAATAGCAATATAATTTCAGATCAGGAAATTTAATTTAAATAGYACATTTGAACACTGTGACAGAAGCAGAGAGGAAAAGTGTAAGATTTTAATCAATATTAACTTAGATCCTTAGACTACCCTTCAGTCTAGTTTTACTCAAGTGTCTATTTAAAAACGCAACCTTAACATTTAATACCTTAAAAACATTAGGTACAATTTTTCTTCTCTTGAATCAGAATCAGGGTGTTATTTGTTTGGTGTGTGGAAATAATGCCATGTATCAGCTGTCTTCCAGCATTTTGAGATTGCCAACTGCTTAGCATATACTATTGGCATCATTGCTTGGCTTCATAAGTTACAAATGCACCCATGTTTTAAAATATATCAAATTTTGCCTTGTTTCTCCTTCAACCCACTGGTGTTCTCTTCATTAAAATTCATCTGCTTGTTTGAAAGAAGTTAAACTATGTACTCTGCTGGAAAAGATGGCATTAGGGATGAGCATGTTCTAATGCCTGATGTCGTGTTTGTCATGTTACTGGTGTGGCAATAATGGTGGTTAAGGWCTGTGAGTCATTCTCTTTATGAACTGGATAACACTTGTGAAGGSCAGCACTGACACAGTCAGTAACACAGCTGCTGATCACTGCAAAGGCCAACCTGGGCACCGTGGGACATGATTCTTCTGCTGGGATCCTTCACAGGTGCCAGTCATGGCAGAGTAGAGCACAGGCAACAGATCAAGCCCCACTCTGTGCAAGCAGGAGCAGAAGCACATTTTGGTGGCCTGTGTGGTGACCAGGTTCTATCTGTTGGCTTACCCTGGTGTCTCTGTCAGCACAGACACTGCACAGACACTGGCTGGGTCATCTCCCCTCATTGCCTTTGCTCCTGTTCATACACTTTGTACATTTTTTGTGCATTTTCCATTCAAACTTCAGCAGCAGCAAATAAAGACTCCGGGAGCTGCCTCTGCTCCTGCTGGAGATGTGGACACAGAAAGACTTCAGTCTGGAGCAGCTGTGGAGCACTTGACAGCCGATGTGCAGTGGTATCTTCTTCCAGGGCACTACTCCTCCTATTTTGATGACTGGAAAAGACCAGCATCTCTGAGCCAGAGTTCCCAGTGGGTCTTTATCCTGCTAGACCGGGCATTGATTGCTAACAGGGCAGAGGATTTCAGTAAGCTGAAAATGCAATTCCTTTCCTGGCAGAAAGGAGGAAGTAAAGTTGTGACACAGAAACACTTACAGATGATCTACACCACTGAAGATTTTTTTCTTAGTTAAGAAAACCTTCAGGAGTGAAGTGGAAAAAGAGCGAGGAAATCACAACAAAATTAGAACTTTGGATTCAGATGATCTATCAGCCTCGAGGCTGTACTTCCTGAATTATTGTTCTTCTCTTCCATTCTCTTTTCACTCTTTTCAAAATTTCACTCTAGTGTGTGTATTCTTCTTGGTGTTTTAATTCATGACAGTGAGCTAAAATTGAGCAAGGTGGTTGCAAACACTGCCTCACCTGGAGTTTTTCCTTGCAGTTTTCCTCTTTTTTTTTTTTGGTCAATTCTCTGTGTTTTGGAAAACAGCAGTGATTGGTCAGCATATCACACATCACAAGGAACTCACAGCAGAAGGAATAAATGTCTTCAAAGGACCTATAATTTCTTTCTGCAGTGTCTTTGGATTAGATCACTGATGCTTGCAAAAGTTTGGGAATAAGATGTGAACAACTGAACTTCTTCCTTTTGAAATCATCATG